CTGTGCAACCCCTGAACAAATCTTGCTGCGAGAGGATGTAATCAGCAAGCAGGAAAGCCCCTCGCCAGACCTTCAAAACCAGAGAGAAAGATCGTACGTGGGGCGGACTTAAAACAGACAGGAAATGGACAGCAAGCATGGTTCGTACCTGCTTCCCCACATCTTCTAAAGGTGTCGCCATGGTGTGCTCTGGAACAGCAAAACAGAGGAAGCATCTTTTCCATTAGACCAAATGCATTATCCCCCCCCCCCCCCCGCAAAAAAAAAGTATTCTCCTCAAAACTGCTTTTGCAATAAAGCTCAAAAAATATGAACATGAAAAGGCAGGAGTGGAAAATTAGAATTAGAATTTAGAATTAGAATTCTTTATTAGCCAAATGTGATTGGACACAAGGAATTTGTCTTTGGTGCAAATGCTCTCAGTGTACATAGAAGAAAAGATACATTCATCAAGAGTCAAGAATCATAAAGTACAACACTTAATAATAGTCATGGGGTACAATAAGAAATCAAATCATACTAGGAAACAGTCAATATAAATCGTAACGATACAAGCATCAAAGTTGCAGTCATACAGTACTTCTTTACTCAAGATATTGTTTGAAAACTGTATAGTTCGCATTCTATCAGAGTAGTTAAGGGCAAGAATCAGAAATGGAGAGAATGAAAGTACGATCTTTTATACCTGTTCACCACTGTAATAAAAATAGAGAAATTTTCTTCTGCCCCAAAGTGAAAAACGAACCCTGGACAGCACTGTTTCTCAACTGTGCAACTTTAAAGTGCGTGGATTTCAACTCCCAGAATTCTCCAGCCAGCCATATTGTAAATGTTGTAAATTGGGGGGGGGGGGGGTTGTATCATGTGACTGTGGGACCCTGAAATGACTGTAAATGCAGGTCAGCTGCTGAGTGTTCAAATGTGATCACACGGTTACCCCCCCTCCGCTGTCAGAACTTTGAATCCAAGTCTTCAGCACCAGCTCTGCCCTCTGCAGTTAATTCTTCCCTCACTTCTGCCCTGGTAGCTCCATTGCAACTTTGGGAGATCCACAAGCAATTGGTTGTTAAGTTCAGTATTATTTGCATGAGAAATAAATATTATGGTGTTACTGACCTATTTTAACAATACTGCATCCGTTGCTCTCATGTTCCTCTTCTTCCAAGACATCTCCATTCCTAGTCAAAATGATGGGGCAGGCCTTAGTCCTTGTCTGATCCTCATCTCCTGCAGGAGGGAGGGGCACTTTCCGGACCACCTGCAGGTCCCCATCTTCATCCAACAAGGCCTCAAAACCTCGACAGGGGTCACCTTTGTTTTCGGGACTGTCTGGAGAATCTTCAGCACCAGTTCTGCCCTCTGCAATTAATTCTTCACGTCTGCTCCAGCAACCAAGGGGTGCTTTTTGGCCTCTCTCTTCCTTCCGAGGATCCCCCTGACTCTCCTCCAAAAGGAGTTTGAACTGCGATAGAAAGACTAAGAGGCAAAAATTTCAGGTGATACACTACCTTGCAAGCAGACGACCTGCACATTTAAAGAAACTTAAAAGGAGAGTTAGACTTTCTGAAGTTCTAAGGACCGCTTTCCCTACAATTTTATTGTACTGTTAGTTGGCACACCTCATCCATCTATTTAACTGGGCATTTCATATGTTTTGGAAACTACATGAAACCAAACTCTTAATTATGTATGTAGAGCTTTCAAATTCCTATATTTAATGATTCAAGTTTCTTCATTTCTATCATCTACTGCTCCTGTTCTTGTCCTCTTATATTTTGCAATAATTCTAAACAACAGACATTTTGAGCATTTCCAATTGGATATAGGGAAATATCTTCTCTCTTGGGTTTTACAGATGTGTTCCATTTCTTTTCCATCAAGCCCCGCTGTGTGCTGTTCTCCTTCTGAATGTTCTTAAATGTTCTATCAGCCCCTTCATGGTCCCTTCCTTACTTGCATGCATTTTGCTAGTCTGTTCCTCTTCAGTTTCTCTTATCTTATATCCTTTTTTTCCCTCTTCTTCACCACAGTTAGATTCCTCTTTTTCCTTATTGCATCCTCTCTTAAACATACGCATTAAACCATAAACCAAGGCTGAGAACTGTAGCTGATTGGGTTTGCACAATATGAGTAAGCCAACACAACAGCCCTGTGAGTTCAGCCACTCTTCCTCTCTTAATCAACAGCATCCACTCCTGATGGGGATGGCATTAACTGTTATATTACCTGGCTGGCCAACAGCATTCAGCCTCACCATAAAATGCCTTCTGTTTGCAGTGTGGAGGTGAATATCAGAGAGTACTGTATCACTTCGAAATATTGTTTCATCCATAGCCTCTCTCACCTTCTCCAACTAAGATTCACTGGGGATCGGATCATCTATAATTACAAAAAGCAACATCCTAACTGACACAAAGAAGACTGAAATATTTCACATTGGCCTATAAAATCCAACATGGGTACATCCCATCAGCTTGATGCTGCAATGATTGTAAGCATGAAAAAAACAGTCATAATTCACTTTTTTTCAGTGCCATTGTGACCAATTAAAATGGTTTTAATTACTTCACACATCTTTATATTAACATATTTTGAAGGTGCAGCATTCTTGTGTGTACACTTCACAAAGAAATACAGCCTTGTGTGCAAAACACAGAGTCCAGAGTGGAATTTTCTTCTCATTTACCTGGGAGTAGGCTCCAAAGAGCTCAGCAGAACTTGCTTAACAGCAAATAGGATTGAGCCTGCAGGGTTAAAAAAAGAAAGTAAAATAAAACTGCTTACTTGCTATTTTATGCATGCTATTAAGAAAATGTGTATACTATATTTCAAAGCCAGTCTTATTGTAGAAGAAATAGTATTGTGTATGAAAAAGCATGTAATATGGCCCCCAGTCTCTAGATAAAATTATGAAGGAGCACAGTACACAAATAAAGACTTTGAAATCATTTTTGAAGTCCACTGAATTTGTATGGATAGGCACGTTTATAAATGGGTAATATTATCCTTACATAATAAACCATGGCTCTTCTCTCCACTGTAAACTGTCTCCTTTCCCTTGAAAATATGTACCCTTGTACAATGGGGAGCGAGAGGTAATCTGCATATGGGCAGAGACACTCTTTTTCAGAATGATGAACCAAAGAGGGTAGATCTTCCTGGAGCAGCACGAGGTACATGGGAGCAGGTGGTGGCTTCTACATCAACCTGCTGGCTGGGGGGGGGGGAGGCCAAGGATGATACAAGGAGGGGAAGAAAGCCAGCAAGCTCACAGACCTACACAGATTAAAACTTATCAAGGGGAAACCCAGCCCAGAACTAAGGAGAAATTTTCGGACAGCGAGAACAATCAGCCTTCAGAAGTTGTGGATCACTGGAGGCTTTTAAGAAGAACCTGGACAGCCACTTGTCTCAAGGGGTATAGGTTCTCCTGCTCGAGCAGGGATTGGACTAGAAGACCTCAAAGATCCCTTCCAACTCTGTTACTGTTACTACTTTGTGGGACAGTTAAACCAATGTGGCTTTTGATATAAAAGTTTATCCTTATTTTGTGTCTCTTAAAAATTCTCCCAGACCTTGCCATCAATCCTGTTTGGACTTTAGGTCCTTCCTTCCATCTATCTTTTCCAATCTTTCCACATTTTTTTTCTTTTGGTCTCTCCTTCCACTTTTCTTTCCCTCTTCCTTCCTATCTTTCTTTCCCTTTCTTTCCATTTTCCTTCCTTTCAGTCCCTCCTTCTGCCTTTCTTTCCCCATCTTTCCACCTTTCACTCCATCTTTCTTCCTTTCAGTCCCTCCTTCCACTTTTCTTTCCCCATCTTTCCACCTTCTAGTCCCTCCTTCTGCCTTTCTTTCCTTGTCTTTCCACCTTTCTTTCCCTTCCTTCCTTTTAGTTCCTCCTACCTTTCTTTCCTTGTCTTTCCATCTTTCTTACTTTCAGTCCCTCCTCCCACCTTTCTTTCCCCATCTTTCCACCTTCCATTCCATCTTTCTTCCTTTTGGTCCCTCCTTCCACTTTTCTTTCCCTCTTTCCACCTTCTTTCCTTTCAGTTCCTCCTTCCACCTTTCGTTCCCTTTCCACCTTCTTTCCTTTCAGTCCCTCCTTCCACTTTTCTTTCCATCTTTCTTCCTTTCAGTCCCTCCTTCCACTTTTCTTTCCCTCTTTCCACCTTCTTTCCTTTCAGCCTCTCTTTTCTTTCCCCGTCTTTCTCCCTTCCTTCTAGTCCCTTCTTCCGCCTTTCTTACCCCGTCTTTCCCCCTTTCTTTCGTCTTTCCCCCTTCCTTCCTTCCAGTCCCTCCTTCCAAGGAGAAGAGGCCAACTAGCACTCTGCAAGCGCGCAGGGGAACCCTCTTTTCCACTCCTCCCCTTCCCCGGTTGCTTCCTGCAGTCCAGCGCGGCACTTTTGCGCGCGGGGGGAGCGGAACAAACGCCTCGCGATCTCCTTTTCGCGCCGTCTGAACTCACCTCCTGACGCGCTTCAGAGACTTACACATCCCTCCATTTTCCTCTCGCCCCGCCCACCAGCTGCTTCTGCTTCCGTCTTCCGGCTCCTGCCTTCCGTAGCGCCCCGCCCCTCGCGCGAACTGACCAATCATTGACGAGGGTACCTTACTGGGCGGGGCTGTTCTTCTCCGCCCTAAAAGGATCGTCCTCCTCCAGCGTTTTTCAGGGTTACTATGGCAACCTGCGCCCCAGACGGGACGGGGATGCTTGTCCTCCATGAACAAAATGGCGGCACTTAAACTCTCTCCTTTGGATGTTTCAGGGAACTGAAACTAAACTGCTGTGGCAGTTTCCATTAGCTGCAATTAAAAGTCCAATATGTATCATAAGTTTTGATGCACCATCATGGGAGACTAGAAATACTATCTACTTGTATATGCAAGTCCACAAGATGTGAAACCAGTTATTCTCCATGCCTTTTGTGGAATCTCCTATCCCAACCCGTGTAGATATTCCTGTACACAGTGCCATCAATTCAGTGTATGCTTTTAAAAAGAAACCGGACAGCCACCTATCTTAAATGATATAAGCCGGTCTCCTGCTTGAGCAGCGGGTTGGACGAGATGACCTCCAAGGTCCCTTCCAGCTCTATTCTGATTGAATGTTACAGGCTCTCCTTTTTGAGCAGGGGGAGAATGGAATGGGAATGGAATAGGAATAGAATGGGATAGGAATAAACCTTCCAGAAGCTCCTCCCTTGTACGGAGGGTGGACTAGCTAGAAGACCTTTAAGGTCCCTTCCCACCAAATGAAGGCGAGTATATCTATCCCAGGATAATGTTGCACGATCCAATCTGGGTCGGTCACTGGGACAAGAGGTTAGGTCTTCTGAGCTTTGTCTCCCTTCCAGCCCTCTGAATCTATTATTCTGATTTGCTGTGAATCCATATGAACTGAAGAGGTTAACACAAGAGGCTCACCAGGTCCTCCATCCACGCTACCAAATTTCGAGCCTCTCTTGAACATACAGTGCAAACATATGCTGTGGAGAGTCCCACGCTTCTGTTTCCATCAGTGGCTACATTAAGATATTAATATTAAGTTATTAAGGCACGCATACAAGTGTTATCTGAGGATGGGCTTCAGCGTGTCTCCGAAAGCTTCTAAGATCACTGGTCATGGTGAATAGAATAGAATAAAAAGAATAGGAATGGGAATGAAATAGAACAGAACAGAATAGAATAGAACAGGGAACGGGAATGGGAATAGAATAGAATAGGAATAAGGTGAGAATGGAGTGGAGTTGAATGGGAATAAAATAGGAATGGAATGGGAATAGAATAGGAATGGAATTGAATAGAATAGAATAGGAATAGGATGGGAATGAAGTGGAATGGGAATAAAATAGGGATGGAATAGGAATGGAATAGGAATAGAATGGAATAGAATAGAAAATAGAATAGAATAGAATAGAATAGAATAGAATAGAATAGAATAGAATAGAATAGAATAGAATAGAGAATAGAATAGAGAATAGAAAGAATAGAATAGAGAATAGAAAGAATAGAATAGAGAATAGAAAGAAAATGGAATGGAATGGAATGGAACAGAGAATAGAATAGGATTGGAAGGGACCTTGGAGGTCTTCTAGTCCAGCCCCCTGCTCAAGCAGGAGAACCTATACTATTTCAGACAAGTGATTGTTAGACTAGAAGACCTTCAAGGTCCCTTACAACTCTGTTATTTTATTAAAACATTTCACAATACATAATTCCATGGCTAAATAAACTGCAACGACGACACCATTAAAGCCAACCTCTTTAACACATTCTTTGGCTCAGTATTTGTAAACAGCAATGGATCATGCCCAGTATTTCCTAGCCGAACCACAGAAAATGACAGTGATCTAATACATATTGATCTTACAGAAGACACTGTTGGAAAAGCACTACGCAATCTAAAACTATCTCTATCTATTGGACTGGACGGAATATGTGCCTACTTCTTAAAAAAGCTATCCACTGCCATAGCAGAACCTCTAAGCATAATCTTTGAAAAATCTTTCAGGAGCAGCTCCTTGCCTAACCTATGATCACAAGCCACGGTCATCCCCATCTTCAAAAAGAGAGACACCAGTCTAGTTGAAAATTACAGACCAATCTCCTTATGCTGCGTCACCTGTAAACTCATGGAATCAATTATTAACCAATCCATTATCCTCCACTTAGAGACAAACAACCTACTCTCTAATAAACAATTTGGTTTCAGAAAAAAACTATCCTATAATCTGCAACTCTTATACTGCAAAAACCTATGGACTACACAACTCGATCAGGGCAAAACAATAGATGCAATCTACATAGACTTCTGTAAAGCCTTTGATTTAGTGGTACACGACAAACTACTCTTAAAACTAAAACCTTATGGTATCTCTGGACAACTGCTTAACTGGATAGAAGCATTCCTGTCATACAGACAACAAATGGTCAAAATTGGGAGTGTCCTATCAAATTCTGTACCTGTCAATAGTGGTGTCCCCCAAGGCAGTGTTCTAGGACCAACTCTCTTCATACTCTACATAAATGACCTCTGTGATCATTTTAAGAGCAACTGCGTTCTCTTCGCTGATGATGTAAAGCTATTCAATACCACAGACTATACTGCTACCCTTCAAAAAGATCTTGACTATGTATCAGAATGGTCAAACAAATGGCAACTTCAAATCTCAACAAATAAATGCTCTGTCTTACGTATTGGCAAAAAATAATAATAATCAGAAAATAAAATACAAGCGGAATAGTCAAGACCTTCTTGATGATCCAAGCTCTGTAAAGGACCTTGGAATACTCATCTCTAATGATCTAAGTGCTAGAGCCCACTGTAACTACATAGCCAAAAAGGCATTAAGAGTTGTTAACCTAATCCTACATAGCTTTTTCTCTGGTAATATCACACTACTAACTAGAGCATACAAAACATTTGCTAGACCAATACTCGAATACAGCTCATCAGTCTGGAACCCACATTATGTATCTGATATTAGCACAGTTGAGAAAGTCCAGAAATATTTCACAAGAAGAGTTCTCCACTCCTCTACTCGTTGTAGAATACCTTATGCCACCAGACTTGAAATTCTAGACCTAGAAAACCTTGAATTACGCCGTCTTCGGTCTGATCTAAGTATGGTATATAAAATCATACATTGCAATGACTTACCTGTCAATGAATACTTCAGCTTCAACCATAACAACACAAGAGCACACAATAGATACAAACTCAATGTTAACTGCACCAAACTTGACTGCAGGAAATACGACTTCAGCAACAGAGTGGTCAATGTCTGGAATACTCTACCTGACTCTGTGGTTTCTTCCCCAAACCCCAAAACTTTAACGTTAGACTGTCTACTATTGACCTCACCTCTTTCCTAAGAGGTCTGTAGGGGGCGTGCATAAGCACACCAATCGTGCCTACCGTCCCTGTCCTATTGTTCTGTTATTTTTCTTATATGTACCCATTTCATGTATTCATAACTATGTATATACTTATACCTATTATCTTGTAAGCGATTGACAAATCAAAATCAAAAAATAATTTACTGAATAGGCCCAGCTAGTCCTGTTAGAACAGCAGAGGGAACACACCACACAATGTATATAGAAAGAAGCTTATCAATTGTATTGTAATTTAATACGCTCTGAACCAGCCACATAGAGTACTTTGTCCTGACTTGCAGAAGAAATCCTGAGAAATAACCAAAAAGTCGGAGGGAATCTTAAAAATTATGTATTTAATAAGATGCCATGCTATTTATTATGTGGTTTCCTCAAATTATGAGCTGCGCTGTGGCTCACAAAAGCAGGTGCTGGAGATGTGCTTTTGCAAAGTTGCAAGACTTTTTAAAGAAATTCCCCATATTCTGCGGTAGATGACGATATAAACCTATTTTGAGGGGAAACATGTATTATGGTAGATATTAGAAAAGTGTTAAAGGCTCATATCTGGGTAATGTATTCTGCCTAAAAGAGGCACCCCTTATGATTTGAAAGTGATTTAGTTTGACTGGGGGTGGAGTGGGGGGACAGTGGTGGGATTCAAATAATTTAACAACCGGTTCTCTGCCCGAATGATTTCTTCCAACAACCAGTTCACCAAACTACTCAGAAAGTTAACAACCGGTTCTCCCAAACTGGTGCGAACTGGTTGAATCCCACCACTGGGGGTGGGGTTATGAAAACTGTCTTCCACTACTTGTGGGGTTATCAGAGAGAAGAGGGGATTGATTTATTCTCCAAAGCACCAGAGAGCAGAACAAGAAATAACAGGTGGAACATCATTAAAATGAGATCAAATCTAGGAGAAATTTCCTGATAGCGAGAACAATTAATCAGTGGAATAGCTTACTCCCTGGACTTGTGGGTACTCCATTACTGGAGGTTTTCAAAAATAGACTAGACATCCATTTGTTTGGGCTGGTGTAACTCTCCTGCTTTCAGCAGGGGGTTAAACTAGAAGATCTCTGAGGTCCCTTCCAGTCCTATGATTCCATATCAGACCTGGGCATTCTATCTCACCCTTTGCCTGTCCTCATCTGGCTTGTGGTGACAGCGGCCCTATTGATTCGGCCCACAACAGTTGTTTCGCATGTGGCCTCTTGGAAATTCATTGCCCACCCATATTCTATTTTCTATGATAATAAGGCTTATAGGTAGTCCAGATCACAGACAAAAACAAGAAAACACAGTCAATTTCTAGCACACTGCAGGCAGAATTGTTATCTTCTGTGGAACCAAGAGATTGGATTTAAAAAAAGGCCTTGGTCTGATCCTGCCCTGCACGCAAATGTTCTCATCTCTTTTGTAAACCTATCATTCTGATCTTTTCATTTTCTAATCTTTTATTAAGCTGCATTTCTATTTCACCTACCTTCCTGGTTGTTCTATGTTTTTTCTATTTGATTAGAGTGCTAGAATATTGTACTGACTGATTATATTTAATTTTCTCCTTATCTTGAGATAAATTGTACTTGTGCTGGCTGTTTTATTTTTGAATTGCTTTTATGTAATGTCTTCTTTACATAATCC